AAGTGCCAAGGGACTAACAGGCATCTCAGACTGGACATGGGAGAAGCAAAACTCACTCTTTCTCCTTGAGACCTGCCCCTCTTCTAGTTTGCCCCATCTCAAGAACAGCATCAACATCCATCCAATCGCTCAAGTCAAAACCCAGGTGTCATCTTTGATTTCTCTGTTCCTTCTTTCAATTCATGGGTCACATGTTCAAAATACACCTGGTCCCTCCCACTGGCACCCCTCCAGCCCCATCCAGCCCCATCTTCTGCTGCTGGCCTGCTGCACCACCCTCCAGGCCAACTCCCTGCTCCTTCACAGGCCCTTCTACACTCAGCAATCAGGACAAATCACATGTCACCACTCCCCCACCCCCATGGGAAATCGGCAGTGGCTTCCCAGTGCCCGTAACACAGGAGTCACGTTCTGGCCATGCTGCTAAGTGAGGCTTGACATGACCTTGATCCTTCCCTCTCCCTGGCCCTACCACCTACGCATCTCCCCCTGGAAATGTGTTCCAGCTGCACAAGCCAGTCTCTCCCGTCATCCTGACCTGGCAAGCTCACTCCCACCCCTGGCCTGGGTGATCTGCTGCCATGACATTGCCGGGCTCCTCTCATCATGCTAGTTTCTGGCCACCACTCCCTCTCCTATCTACTCTCTGTTTCTTTGTTCTAGTTTCTTCGTTGCCTCTGCTACAATCTGATATTATTTAATTATATGATTATTTGCATGCTAGGTACTTATCACTCCCTTCTGCTGAGTGTCACGCAGGCTGGGCTATCCTCAGCTCTTTTGCATGACACAGGAGGGCACTTATATGTTCCCTAAAGGATCAGTTCCTAAAGGATCAATCGATGTGACTTCTGCCTTGTTTTTGCTCTATTTGACTTTATGTGAAAAGATTTTCAGGAGGTTTATGAAACTGAATGTAGTAGAATAAAATTAATTAAATACCAGCCTAGGAAATTAGATTTTGTTGAAAGGGGAAAAAAAACCCAGAAAAATAAAAACAAAGAAACTAGCTTTGCCTTGCCTGGGGGCTCAGTCCCGGGAAAGCCTCTTCTCTAACCACAGTGCCCAGAGTCACCTCCTGCAGGGTGTCTGAATGCCGGGTGGAGGGGTGTTTCTATCCAGCCAGGACTTCTCATCCCCTCCAGTTCACTCATCCCTACTCGGGGTCTAACAGGGCTCTTACATTTATATGTCCAAATCTACTGTCCCACAGTCTCCTTTGTGGGAGTGCATGTCCTTAAAGAGACTCTATTCTTCCAGTAACTTTGCCTCCTGTACAACCACTAGAATCCTAATTAGAATAAGTTATACCTCATGTATGCATAATATGCCACAAGACATTCTATTGCCATGTATACCTAAAAAAAAAAAGTCCTAAAATAAAAAGATACTCCATTCTTCCACTTTTTCTGGCCTCTTCCATTTCTTTCATATCTCACATTGTGTCAACCAATCTTATTGTCCAGAACATAACCCCTCCTCACCCGCTTCTATACCATGCTGGCTCAGACCCTGTTGCCTCTGGATTCCTGCAATTGGTCTCTCAGTTTCTACCTTAGTCTCCTATGTCTGTTCTTAACTCATTAGCTAGAGTGATCCTTTTAAATTCCGTCACTCCTCTGCTCAAAACCCTCTATCCACTTTTCATTCTATACAGCACAAAGGTCCAAGTACAGCAAAGGCCTTTGAGGCCCAGTGTCACCTTGCTTTGGTTGTGCCTCCAACACCCTCTTGTGCCTCCAACACCCCAGTCCACCAGCTCCTTGCTGTTTTCCAGCATGCCAGGCACACTCTTGATCAGGGACTGTGAACCTGCTGTTCCTGCTGACCCTATTCTCTAAGATGGCTTTCCCCAGTGATCCGCCCAGTGCACTTCTCATCTCCCCAGGCCTTGCTCAAGTGGCACCTTCCGGGTATCATACCTATTTAATGTTCCCCACTTTGTACTCATTCTTCTTCTCTAATTCATTTTCTACTTCTTTATCACCCAGATGTATTATATTGTATTAAATGGAAACTTATCATTTGTTTATCGTGCATTCCTCCACTGGTCTGCAATCTTCCTGTGGGTAGGAACTTCGTCTCTTATGTTCAGAGCAGTATCTAGTACAACGTCTGGCAGATGATGGGCACTCAGGAGCTGCCTGCCCTCCAGACAGGGACAGCAAGCTCACAGTCTCTGATCATGAGTGTGCCTAGTATCCTGGAGCTGCCTGCTGCTTTGATGAATGAGGTGAAGGTAGAACTGTGGCAAGGGTGGGAAGCTTACACTGAAATGTTGTTATATCATCGGGCATTGAGCCTCCTAACTTTCTAACAGTCATTATGCATGGACATGTAAACAGCCTCCGTCATATGAGTCACAGTGCCACCCATGAAATCACATCAGGGAGTATATAGCTCTTCCTGATACTGAGACCAGAAAGCAACTTCTTCTAAAGGGATTGCAATTTTGCCAGCTGGGTCCTTGCTTGGAGCATCTGCACTGTCTCTTATTGCATTCTACAATGTGGTCAATGCTTTATGCCGAAGCATAATTACATAAAAGCAACTGTATGCAGCCAGAAGACCATGGCCAATGACCCAGCTTCTTAATAATTTGGATAGATCCAGAAACAGACCCAGGGACAGACATGCTTCATGATTCTTGGGCCCATGTCTCTCAGTCAAGCTTCATTGAAAGCTTAACAACAGAAAGCTTTTATTTGCAGAGAATAGGGCTTTCCTGGAATAAGATGCATCAGTGTAACTTGGGCGTTGCCATAGAGGCTCATGTAAATGATACTCCTTAGAGTAACGCAGGGCACAATCTGTACAACTGTGTGAGTGCCCCAGTTTATGAGACTGGATAAATATAGAGACATAAGCTCTAACCAGCAGCCAACGCAGAAGCTTTGTCATTTATTTATAAGAGTTTTAGTAATCAAAAAAAAAAAAAAGACACATAATGGTTCACATATTGTAGAAATTCTGTTTAAAGGTGCAGCAGGGACAGAGACTAGATGTTTGCTATAGTTTGAGTATTAAAAGTCCCCAAAGGCCAAGGTGTTAAAGGCTTGGCCCCCAACCCAGGGCACTATTGGGAGGTAATAGAACTTTTAAGAGTTCGGGCCTAGTGGGAGGAATTTAGGTCACTGGGGACATGCTCTTAAAGGGATATTGGGACTCAGCCCCTCCCTCTTCTTTTCTCTTGCTACCTGGTTGCCATGAGTGAGAAGCTTCCTTTACATGCACTCCCACCACGAGGTACAGCTTTGCCACAGGCCCCAAAACATGAGTACACCTGACTATGAACTGATACCTTCAAAACTTTAATCCAAAACAAGAGTTTCTTCTTTTAAAGTTGATTATCTCAAGTATTTTTTTACAGTAATGTAAAGCTGCCTAACACGATGTTCTGCAGAAAGAATCTGAAGTTGAGTCGATCACAGGATGACCACAAGAAAGTTAGTTTGAAATTTTAAAGCAGTTGACTATGGCTCCTTGCCCTTCAGCTATAGCATGTCTCTGCAGAGATCCCATTGACCTGCTCACTTGAGCAATGTGTTTTTCCCTGTGACACTGTGAAGTCAGCATCGAGGTAGATGACTGAATTATATTGCTATTTGGGATTGCTAGCCATAAGCAGCTAAGTCAGGGACGACGCTTACCAAAACTCCATGACTGTAGTTGTTTTTCCACTAAGAATTTTAATTCTATAAAAACTTACAATAATACAGATATTGACCCCACTGGACATTCCAGTCACTTCTGCCCAAGGCTCCTTCCTATCTTGCACATAACAGGAAAACTAATACTTCCCTATGTCCACATATAAAACGTCCATTTCTTGAATCTGTGATGAGTCAAGGGCTTCCATGAGAGTTCATTTTCATACACACACATAAAATCCAAAGGCACACATTTTTTTCTTTCATTTATTGGAAGAAATTAAGAAATCACATGGTAGTTCAGCAGAAAAATATTTAAGGTGGTGGTGACTAAGTCAATACTCTAGCTTTCCCGCTCGTGGGTGACTGATCCCCCAGGAACGTGTACACTCAGAGTCAAATCCACCTTGAGATCCCAACGTGCACACTTTTCTGAGACTGAGTTTGGGGACAGGGTAGAGATAAAAATCAAGAAGACAAGGCCCTTGACTTTAGGAAGCTCTCCATCTAGGGAAGGAGTCAAGACTTCCTCACCTAAAGTTGTCAATCACATGGTGATTGACAAAATGGTGCAAGTTGGAAGTCCCCTGAGGGTTGTGACTAGGTGTGATCCCTGTGGATACGATGGAGTCCCCTGGGGCCTCCTAGAGAGGCAGGCCCTGAGCCAGTCTTGTTGAAGATTAGAATGTAGAAAGTTAGGACTGACTCATAGAGGAAAGGTGCTCACCTGGCACCTGCCTCTGACTGTTGTTGAACACATTTGGACCGGTGCATTTTAGGGTCTCTTTGTTACAGCAGCTGATCCTAAAGCTTAACTGACAGCTCTCTGGAGTGGTTGTTGGCCTTCCCTCCTCCTACCACATGAAGAAAGATCTGACTCAAACAGAAGAAGGAAGGAAGGCAGCCAACTAGTGAGGAGGCAGACACTATTCTATGCACTTTACATGCCTCAACTCCTACCTCCCACTGATTTTTCCAGGCAGAAGCTATACTCATTTCTAGTGATAAAGAGCAGAAGTGCAAAGACTTTCCAAGGTCACACACAACTGGCAAGCAGCAAAGACCAAGAATCCAGATAAGTCTCGTGTTTCCTGTTGCTTATGCGCCATCAAATGTGGACAGGGAGAGCCTCAAAGGGGTGGATCAAATGCCCCATGGGTTTTTTGATTCATTCCCGGAGGAGAAAAGAATTCCCTATGCTCTATTGAATCCAAGAAGGCACAGGTTATTTATTTACTTATTTATTTTGGTGGAGATGGGGGGAGACTCAGGAGCAGCAATCTTTTAGGATTAGAAAGAGACTTGGAAAATTTCTAGCTTGACCACCTTTTTTTTTTTTTTTTTTAACAGACAAGAGAACCTTGGCCTAGAGAGGTGAAATCATTTGCAAAGCTGATTGATGCCTACCTAGTTCATGCCTCTATTCATCACAACATAAAGTGAACCTTATATCCATGACCTTCACAGACAAAAGGCAAATTAGGGTGTCCACTTTCTTGAAGACCTTCTGTGTATCTCTCTGGATTAAAAAAAAAAAAAAGGTGACATTGGAAGTTGATCTGTGTTGAACAGGGAGGTCAAGGACAAAAGGGTGCCTCATTAACTGTGAGCTAGAGCTAACCCTTGACCTAGTTCTGAAGTTGATCAGTCTTGTCTTTGGCCCTAGAGTCCTCTTTCTGGGTTCTTGGCTCTTCTCCAGGTCACTACCTCTCTGCCCCATATACTCCCCCCTCTCCACTCTGCTTTTAGGAAACAGGCTTCAGCCTGCTAGAAATTTAAGTCATTTCATGGGGTATGCATGTTAATTCGGGTTTCAATGAAGAATTTGTCCTCATCAAAGAAACTTTAGGCCCAGCCAGGAAATAGACAGGAATCGGGGCAGGGTATCGAGGGAGGACTTGTCATTGGGAAATGTGATATTCTTAATAGGGAGGCAATCACTCTAAGCTGACTTGCACCCTGAGAATTGTATCCAGGCTGTTCTGCGTGTCAGGGCTCAGTGCTGCTGTTCAAAAAAGATGTTTTGGTGATGAAATAAGAGCTCGCATATCTGTTTCAGGAGCTGACTGCATTCCGGCAAGGCTCCTGACTTGAGCAGGCTGAGTCAGGGATGAGCCTAATTGTTAGATAAAGCCAGAGAGTTGCAGGTTTCTCAAGACTTTGTATGCTGATACTGTGTGGGAGTATTTCTCTTTCCTTAAATGGATCATTAGAAAGGATTGGATGCAAATCAAGAATTCAATCTCTAACCAAACAAATTTCCACCCACACAGATAACTCGACCCATTTTAGTACAGCCAACTTGTAACAAAAAAAAGATTTTCTCCCTCTCTGAGGATGACTTTTTTTTCTATGGAAAGAGATGAGATTCTAGAGGGGTCCTTTAAAGGTCCCGTCTGGACTCCTGTAATCTAACATGTCACAGTTAAAAGGCAAAACCTCTGAACCATGTGCTCTCATTTGCTGTTCATGTTGCGCCTGGGATCAAGACCTGCTGACAGCTGCACACTCCTCCAGGAGACATGGAGCAGGTTATGACTGAGGGCCCTTAGCCCAGGGTCTATAAGACCCCTGCTCTGATCAGGAGGTCAAGGGCAGAGGGTACCTCAGTAACTGAACCCGAGTTGACCCTTGACCCAGTTCTATAGTGGGCCATTCTTGCTTTTGTCCCCAGGTTCCCATTTCTATGTCCTTTGCTCTTCTCCAAGTCACTACCGCCCTGCCCCATGCTCTCTTCTCTCTTCTCGCTCTGCTTTCAAGAAACGGTTAAGACAGGTTTCAGCCTGGTAGGAATTTAAGTCATTTCGTGGGTTACGCATGTTAATCAGACAGACAAGTGTGACATCAGATTCTGCCCCAAGAAGCTTGGACAAGATCTTGAACAAGACACTTAAACCTCCTGAGCCTTGGAATCTTCTGGATCTAAAAAACAGGGCTGCTAAGGCCCCCCTCCCAGCTCTGCTGCGAAGATCACTTAGGATGCCTGTGTCAAGCACCCGCACATGGCTATCACTCTGTTGTCAGCTGGTAGTTATATAAAGAGCTTTTTCTAGGCCTGCTTTTCTCTTTTCATTTTTTCTCTTCACAGAAATTATCTCCTGATCATGCAGAAGACCATAATTGTAGACATTTTGGAAAACATAGAAAAACATAAGAAAGAAAATTAAAATTGCTTATGTTCCCAACACTCAGAAAGAACCACTGTGAATATATTGGTATGCTTTCTCTAATGTCATACCACATATATACACGAATAGCCACCCCGACATACCTGTAGCTTTGTAGCTGACAATGTATATTGCTTTTTCTTTTTTTAGCTAACATTATATTTTGAGCATTTTCTCATATTATTATAAAGTATTTAAGACACCATTTTCAGTAGCTATAAAATAATATTTTTTTCTATTGTAAGGTCATTGGACATAAATCTTTCTAATTTTAATTTCATATTATCTGCTTATTTCCAGTTTTGCAGTTGGATTGACTGATCAAAATATGTGAACTTCTTTTAGCATAGTGAATTTTCTCAAATGAGGAAAGATATGCAGAAATGAAAATATTACAAATGTATATATAATAAAAAGTAAACACAAACTAGCCAATTCCACATTTATTTTTTATTAAGTATTCATACAAATATTCATTCATCTTTTTCTTTTATAGAGGGATAATATACATACATGACATGACGATTCTGGCAAAAAAAGAGATAATAAGAATATTCTGCAGTTCTAAAAATGGTATGGAATAAGTTTCAACAACATTCTACATGATTGTAAATCTCTGACTTACTGCTATTATTTTTCATGATGGATACATGGTTTGTTTTATAATTTTTAAAATAGATACAGGTGTCTTAATAAATTGACTTACTAATAATTAAGGCACTTTTCATACGCAGTATCAGTGTGGACAAAAATGTTTTAATATTGATTATTTCTTAAGAAATTCTAAACTTTCAGAATCTTTTCTACAACAAAAATAACTGTACGTGCTTTACTATTTTCTAATAAAATATGATCTTCAAAAAATTAATAATGATTGATCTTTTTGGTTCCTAGTAATGCTATGAATTATTTTCTCACATAATACAAGTTATATTTTTAAGCAACATACAGGATTGCACTAAGACCGAGTAGTTCTTAAACAATGTTATCAAATAACCATATAAATCCTGAGTGCAGCAGAATCAAATGATCTTCATCATGTATGTTCACCTCATTGAATTGGATGCTACTTCTTTTGGATATTTTTTCATTTTAATGTGAAATAGAATGTTTAGCATTTCATTTGTAAGTTTATTAAGTGCCTTTTAAAAGACAAATGTGGTTTCAGTTTCTTCCAAAGTTCACAATTCTTGGATGACATTTTCCTGGAAATCATATAGTTCTGGCTTGTCTTGAGTAAACAAATAACTCTTTCAAAGATGAAATCGCTCAATTCGACTGAAATAAATAAACATTTACATCTTTAGCTGTACTGTAAGTATATCCTGAAACCAAAGTAAAATGGTTTTTCTATCTCCACGGTCCACTTGTTATTTTAAAATCTGAAATATGTCCATAATTTATCATTTGTTTTGATGATAGTCTGACCACCAACTTTTTTTTTTTTAATCATGGCTTGAAGCCAGTTTAAACTACTGCATGTTCCTCAAGTTTGCTTTGAAGGATTTTACATGAGATAATAAGTTTATTCAGCAGCCAAGTGAGATATATTACTTTTCTTCCTGTAAACTATTGGTGAGTGCAAGCAGTCAATCCATCAAAATCCAAGATCTGCTATCCTCACCAAGTGAGCTGCAAGTTCACAGACACTTCTTTTTCTCTGCAAAGGTAAACATACATTCAATCCTAAATTCCTGCTGAACAATGTTTTTGTCATCATTTCATGAGCCTGAGAAACCTCAGGGGAAAAGAACAATCTATTTTAATGATGGGCTTTCTGTCTGTGAGTAATCCGAATCACTGGAGTTAACCAGCTCTATTCAACTATCATGTCAGAATCTCTCAGGCAGGTGGCCTGCATAGGCCAGTTCATTTTCTTTATTTGCCTGGTCTCAGCAGGGGACATTTCCTCCTCCTCCTCCTCCTCCTCCTCCTCCTCCGCCTCCTTCTCCTCCTCCTCCGCCTCCTCCTCCTCCTCCTTCTCCTCCTCCTCCTTCTTCTTTTTCCCTATCAGGAAGATCTGGATAAAGATGAGCTTTCTTTCTGCTAAAGATTTTCCTACATAGTTTATCTGGGTATTTCATAGCTCGTCCAACTGTTCTATTTATGTAAATGTTCAACTGTTTTGTAGAATTCTTAAGCTCTTTCATGTTCTTATTAGTCAAATTAGAGATCTTTTTTTCTAGGAACATCAATGGAATGATCTTCAATGTCATTGCAAAAGTTCCCTTTTGTAACACTATGTTTTCAGATACCATAATCTTTTAAATACCAGTGCCTCATACTTCAAAGCACATCCGCTTAGCTCTGGCTGCAGCCTCGAGTGTCCCTCAGCTCCCAGGGGTGTCTTCTCAGGAACCAGAATCCCACTGGGAGAACTTCCTATGGGTAGGCCGCCTGAGGGATCTGCCCACTGGTGGACCTAGCCCTTTCAGGTCTCAAAGGACCATGGAGAAGAGGAAAAACTAAAGTACACGAACTATTAAAAGCAATATTGTCAATCTGATGTTCAGAAAAGTTGCACCAATTTAGCTCCCATCCATATAAAGATTTGGGAATATCTTGGCCCATTTTGTGTTACTGTAACAAAATCCCTGACACTGGGTACATTTTATAAAGAAAAAAGTTTCATTTAGCTCACAATTTTGGAGACTGAAAGTCCAGGATCAAGCAGAACCCATTTGTTTGGCTGCTGGTGAGGGTTTTCTGGCTAAATCACAGCATGGTAGAAGGTATCACATGGTGGCAGACTGTGCAAGAGCAGGGAGTGGTGCCTGTGGAAGAGGTTACATGGTGAGAGAAGCAGCAACAGATCAGTGAAGGACCAGGCTTGCTTTTTTATAACAACCCACTCTGGTGGAAGCGAATCCTCTCTTCCTGACATACTAGGCCTTACTTCTTAGAGGCCATACCATCTTTCAGTGCCATTATATTGGAGACTAGCCTATGAACCTTTGGAAGACAGACCATATTCAAACCACAGCAGGAACTTTTGCAACTTCCATGTGGTTGCTATTCTTAATTTGTTTCTATAGCAGTTAACAATCAAACTCATAAAAAGACAACTGGGAGAGTCTATGAAAGATGTCAGAGGACCAGAAAGGGAACATTGGGAAGTTGATCTTAGTTCTCAGACTGTGGAAAGTAAGATCAGGAAGTTGGACATGTGATAAGAACTTATAAAATGCCCAAGAAATAGAAGAAAGAGGGACGAGATGGGGAGATAACTTTGGTGTGTACTTTCACTCCCGAATTAACACAGAATGTTTCTGAGGACATGTCTGAGCACAGTGCTGGGCAGACAGTAGAGTTCAGCAGGCAGTCGGGTCGGTGTGACCCTGGAGAGGAATCTGGAAAGTGACTTTTTAAAGTGGCCACCTGCAAAAGGAACAGAGAGTGGAATTCCTGGGCCTCATCATCTCCAGGGACAATTAGGAGCAAATGTTGAGTGGAGGAGACCAAGAAGCCTCCAGATAACCAGCTCTCAACAACCCCAGGCTCATTCTTAACACCCTATAGAAAATAGTGTGTTCAGAGAGGCTTTGTGGACTCCATAGCCAAATCCACTTTCCATCAGTCCATCAACCAGCTTTCACAGAGAGCCCTGCAGGGTTGCAAATGAGGTGAAAGCTAGAGCACCTGCTTATGAGGACTGTGGCTTTGGCAGAGGCCAGTGTGTGTGTGGGGGGGGGCAGCACCCATGAAAGCACCACAAACCACATGAGACCGCAGAGAGCTGAGCATCTGGTCGTGCATTGGGTGCAAGATGGTGGGATGAGAGTCTTGAGGAGAGGAGAGGAGCAGAATAAGGGCTGCAATGAGGTGAGGCTTGAGCTCTGGTGATTCCAGGGGTGGCCTTTGAATCTAGTCCTTGCTAAAGAGCTGATCCTTCTGAGAGGAGGGAAAGCATCAGACCTCACTTTCCGTGTCTCCTGCTTCTTGCAGCAACCACCTGCTCAACCTCATGTCAATCTAAATAACAATCAGAGAGAGATTCTCAAAAGGCTAATATACTTATTTGGGAACAGCAGAGCAAGGATAATGGGAATACATGTGTCATAGCCCATAATGAGTGTATCCAAGGAGGTGGAGACAAGGGGAAAAATTAAAAGGCAAAATGATGAGAACTATATGATATTTTGAAACAATGATCTTGGACCACAAGGGATTAATAGCAAGGGTGACACCAGTCCAAGTTTGGGTGGGCAGTTATGAGCAGATGTCTTAAATAAGTATTTTTGTGTGTGTGTGTGTGTGTGTAAGGGTATGGTGGCCTTTTATGCAAGTTTATAGTCCCGTAGAATCTTTTGTGATGGCAGGCAACTGTACATGAGAACCATTCCTTCAGGACTTCCTGGCCTTATTTATTAGGAATGACACAAGTGACTCCATCTTGATTTTGGCAACTCTCACAACTACGGCACACGAGCTAGTTATCAGTGAAGGCAACAGTGAAGAAAGGCACAGAGACACACGGTGAGGGTTAAAACACAGCTCCAGCCCCTCCTACCAGGCCAACTTTTGTGACTGACGACAGGCTGCAGACATGACACTTTTGGCTGACCTTCCTCTGGGGCACAGGGGAGACTCCCCAAATGCGTCTTCTGAGAGTCCCTAGGATCAGACAGAAACCCCAGCTCTGTTGCAAGGTCTGTAAACATCCTCATAGCCGGACATGTGAAGTGCTGGCATAGTTAGTCTTTTAATCACTGCCCCACCCCTCTGAGGAAAAAAGCTGATTTCAGCCACTTGTGGAGAGAGAAATAGCAGTGACCTTTCTGCAGAACTGATGATAACTCGCTCCTTATAAGGAGTGGGCAAACAAAGAGCCCCACGCTCATGGCTCAGGAATGTGTGCGCTGTGTGTGTTCTTCCAAACTTACCTGCTAATTGGGCTCTACACCTGAGCGCAGTTTTTCTTGTGGTCTCCGGGACAGCAGGATGGGGGTGAGTCCCTCCCATTGAGCCAGGGGAAAGTATCCATTGCCAAAGGTGATTACCATCCTGCAGTTTCTGAATCAGAACTGCTATTGGATTGAATGGGATTAAAGAACAGCTTAAAGAAAGTTCTCCACCCCCCCCCCTATTATTTAAGAAAAAAATTCCCTATCAATGGTGATGCCTGTTTCTCAAGGGGGTTATTTAACTCACAGTAAGAGAAGAGTCCAAATTTACAGAATAGTAAAATAGAAGCTGGCAGGTAATAAAATCATCCGTCAGTCATTTCAGCTATTGTTTACTCTAGGTCAAACATCACTTATGGTCTGTTAATTCCTATGTTAACCCAGTAATTATGACCATTTTACAGGACAGGATGTTGAAGCTCAAAGAAAGCTTATGTTGTTGGTTCGAGTTCATTCAGCTGGTAAGTGAAACACAGAGATTTGAACCCAAATCTTTCAGACTCCAAAGCCAGCGGAGTTCTTTGAGTTGGAGCCACAAACACCCTAAGGTTCACGGATGACCAGGGTCCTTCCTGGGCGGTGCAGTGTAGAGAGGGAGTTTGGCTGCCGGAACTTGTCTAATTCTTCATGAGATTTCCCAGACCTTCAAGAATTAAATAAATGTCATATTCCCTTCTAAACAGTTTTGTTTTTCTTCTTCTTCTAATCTTGTATTGCTCATAAATAAATAAATAAATAAATAAAACCAGAAAGCCAAACTCCAGAGTCCTGTCTTTACTCAACACTGGAGAAACACAGCCAATAAGACGGTGCATGGTCCTTTTGTGAAATGCGCCATGCCTGAGCTTCCCTCCCAAGTTGGCCTGCCAGCTTGTCCTTTGGCTGCCCTCACAAGCCACCCAGGCTGCACCCCTCTGGGCTCCCACAGCTAGTCAGCTGGGCCAACCCCCATATTCAGTGTGTGGTTGCCCAGAATTCTGCCCACCTTGACCAATCTTTTTATTTCTTGTGTACTCCTTATATACGTAACACAAGGTCCTAATATTATGGGGGCCAAGAGAGAGATGTGCCCTGTCTTCTCAGAGATGACATTCAGGAAGGTGAAGTAGACACTCACTGGTTTCTCAATCATCACTTCATTACAATTGCATAAGCCCTTCAGAAACTGTTAAGTTGCTGAGCGGGTGTACTGGGGCAGGGATGAGGGGCCTGACCAGGATTAAGGAATGAGGCAACACCTCCCCCAGAAAGGAGACAGGATGGCTGAAGTGCCCCAGAAGAGAGGTCGGTGGAGCAGAGTGAAGCCAGAGAGCTCAGCAAGGCCCCATCTTGAGGCCCTGCTGTAGTTCTTGGCTTTATCTTGGGAAGGAAGAGACTACATTGAAGGGTTTAGGTGGTGGCTGATAAATGTGAACTATCAACTGCCTTTTTGGCCTTTGGTCTCTCTGAAATAGCCAAGTTTGCAGTAACATAAAAGTTGACTCTTCAAGGGGCTGTAGTAAATGTTTGCTTTTGACTATGAGGATTTAAGCCCAGGCCGTCCTCTCCGAGTCACTCTTGCCAGCAGTCTGAATCTGGAATTTCTTGTGGGTAGCAACCCCACAGTGAGTAGGCCCTCCAGACCCAGGGAGGTGGATCTGGGGGGCTGTTAAGGTCAAATGGGGGAGAGATGCAAGGCCAAGAATAATGCCAAGATTCCAAGGACCGATCCCTTTGGTCAGGTTGTCCCATTGGTTGCTCTTGTGGGACCTGGAAAAGCACTAAGAGACTACAGATGTCAATCTCAGAGTTTGTCCTGACAGGTCACCACTAAAGATAGAATTCTTTGGTCCTTTAGTCCTTTTCTTTGTGTCCAAAAGGGCTTGCATGGAGGGAGCTAACAAAGTGTCTTCTGACCCTACCACTGTGGGACCTCATCACTTCAAAGTGAGGGCCCAGGAGGAATGTTTTATGGTGGGCAACTTTGAGAGAAAGAAGTGGGTCTGTAGAGGGGCTGGAAAGAAAGAAGACAGAGTCCGGGAGATCCACAGGGCATTTTGATTGGTTGAATGGTGGGAAGACAGCAAGGCAGAAAAACACTTGTGACTGCAGTATGATTCCACCAGAGATGGTCATGCTATGGAGAGCATTTCCTGTCCCAAGGAGAGAAAGATCCAACACACACACACACACATACACACACACACACACACACACACACACACTGCATATTCTCCCCCTGCCCCTCACTCCCACCCAGGCTGGGTGTGGAACCCAGAGCCTTGTGCACCCTAGGCAAGCACTCTACCACTGAGCTACACCCCTAGCCCCATAGAAGGGGATTCTAACATTTTTTTTAAAAAAGTATAATTCTTATATCTGGAGACCACATTTTTTTTAACTTGTGGGAATGTACCTCCAGAATCTCCATAAACTGTGATTAAATTTCTGTGACTCAATTCCATGTAAAAATATATGTCAACTGGCATCATTAGCAACCTTGCTGTCAGTCCTGTTCTGTCAAATCCCTTTTCCTAGTATTTCATACGTTACCACACATCTGCAGAATTTTCCACTGAGTCTGTTCCCACTGAGAGTGTTCCAAGGAATGGCCCCTTCCACGTAGTTTATCAGCAGTGCGTAATGCTGCTACCATGTGTTGAAAGAAAAGGAGAAAATAAAGAGATACTGTTAGTTAAAAAAAGTGGAATTTCTAAACCACATGATCCAATGTGGCCAGTTCTGTTTCTCAGCTGTCATGAATTAAGAACGAATTAGCAAAAGGCTAAACTCCTGTGCAAGGCATTGCCCTGGGCTGTGGCCAAACCTGGGAATAACAAACGCCTCCAGAGATCCTCTGACTCTGTGGCCCACAAGTCATGGATTTGTGAAGTGCCTGATGGAGCTCTTTTCCCAGTGGGGTGGGAGGAAATGTTTCCTTGTGCTCCCACTTGGTGTAGCAGCTTGTACCCTGGCTGGGAAGCCAGGAAAGTGTCCAGAACCAGCCCTGCTCATTATTAGCTGTGTGTTTTGGCAAAGTCTCCTAGCCTGTTGGAATCCCTATTTCTTTATCTCTATAAATGGCAGCAACAATTCAACACCCTGTGACTGGGGACAGATTGTATGCTGGATCACATGTGAGTTAAGATATAGCCATCACCTCCATGAGAGGGGAGCAGAGGGTGCATGACATTTGAGTAAGCGCCCATTCACCTAATGAGCTCCCAAGACTGATGACTTGAATATAGAAATGTGTCAAGCTTAGATGATATAGAAAGACATCTCTACATAATACTTAATGTATTTTAATTGCTTATACTTAAAATCACATATGATATTAAATATAAATATTATTAATATCTTAATAGTTTCAATTATATGTTTAAAAATTACATCATGTTTCTAAAGCAGAAATATTGCCTTTACCGGCTCACAATATGATTTTATTTTTTTCTGCTGTGCTGAGCATCAGACTCGGGCTTCAGGCGTGATTGGCAAGTGCTCTACCACTGAGACACACCCCAGCCCTCACAACAGAGCTTTTAATCGGACTCATCAATGCACCTTTGACATCAGTATCTGGATCTTCACTAGCTGGTTCTCCAAGCCCACTTTCTCAAGCACAGCATCTTCATATTCATCTAAGCTGCTTGAGATTCAGCACTTTTTGAACCTAAGTATGATGTTGTCATTGGAAATGTTACCCCAAGCCACAATAATACTTTCCGTATTTGTGATCTGACAGGATATCCATCTGTCTCTAACATACAGTGTGTAGTAATACTGATTTTAAAGAGATTTTTAAGACCACTCTGAGGGATAATGGGGTGGGGGTGTTGGCATGATTATATATGATACTTGCAAGAAAGGTTAGAGGGCATTAAAAGCTCTTGATGAAAACTGTTAAGACATGAGAGTTTACAGACTAATTATATGATGAGTCATCAAGCTGTTAATTTTCTTCACCTCCTTATTTAGAAAATAAGGCCAGTCAACATTTCCAATACTTGGTTACTGGGAGGAGGAAATGTGGTTTTAAATTCTAGCAGCAGTGTAGCACCTGGCTCAGGTGTGATTCAGGGTGATTGTTCTTGCAGCTCTACTCCCACACTAGACTCTCTGGGACATGTTAAAGGAAAAGTAGTAGAACATTAACAAAATTTCCTTGCTTTTTTATTCATCTGAGACAGATTAGGGTTTTTCCCATAGGTGCCTTGACAAGAACCAAGGGGAAAACTAAGAACTTACTATCTAAAGGCTGTAGTTGCAGAGGCCCACCTGGACCTCAGCATCGTTGTGTCTTTCTTTACTCTTCAGACTTGTAGGCATTTTCCTCTCCTAATCTCATATCTGTTCCCTGTGCATGCAGTCACCATGGGATGGGGGATGGATACTGGCACAATAATAGCCACTGGGATTTGGAGGAGGGGAAATTATGTTCAAATCAACCTTTACCCCTGATTGGTTAAGACTTCACCTCCAAGCCTTGGTTTCTTCATCTATAAAATGTACATAAATCTGTTGGAGAAACCTTGAAGATTCTCTTGAAAGACAAAATGGTATCATGTATTCAAAGTATTCAATAAAAATCTATTTGGCCAGTCAATAACTGTAACTCCCTTCTGTCCTTCTGTTCAGTTGTATCCATCCTAGAGTAGTCAATGAATGGAGAGTGGAGGCAATAGTCATAGCAAGTGCTCTGAACCACTCCATGCCCCTTTTTTCCTAATGAGGGTTAAAGTTTTGTTTGATTTTCACTAAAAGAAATAATGCTTGTGAGGGGTGACCTCCAGGTCTAAAGTTTGCTGCTCTGATTAGCAGTTGGTCTGGGGTCATCATGCATGGTCTAGGGTCATCCCTTACCTAGTAGAGAAGATAAAGCAGCACTTGGAGAAGATCCCAGCAGCACAGGGAGAACTTCCCCAGGCAGAGGAAGGATGAGAACCTTCAGGGCCACCTTGGCTTCCTG